CGGGCCTTCCCGTCCCCACGTCTGCCCCGCCCCCTCTTCTCCCACCCCCGCCTCGTTTCCTCCTCTCCCCGCCCTCTCGCCGCACCCCGGGGTCCCACATCCCACCCCTGTCGCGGCTTTCCGCTGGGGCTCGGCGCGTCGTGGAAGTCACGTGGTGGCTCTGAACCCCCGAGGGAACGCGAAGCCCAGCCGCAGGGGGCGACGCCGGGGTGGGCGGGGGTCGGGAGGCGCGGCGCAGACTTCGAGGTCCTTCGGCCGCTGTCGGGGAGCTCGGGGTGAGACACACACGTGGGCGGTTTGGGGTCGGAGATTTTCCCCGGTCCCATCACGGCGTCTTCCTGCGCACCGGCCACGCCTCCCTGCCGCCCCCTTCGCGGGGGTCACCGTCTTGGGGGACTTTCTCTGCGGCATCAGTCATCTGGGCGCCACTCTCACTCCTTGAGCGCCCGGGGAAGCGCAGGCCGGGAGGGGACAGCCGACTTCGCCGAGTCCCACCGCGCACCCGAGAGCCCCGGGCGCCGCGGGGCCTTTCTGCGGGGAGCATCCCCCGGGCTATGGGAAGGAGCGAGGCGGGGCTGCCCCGAGGGTAAATTCCAGGGTGGAGGGTGGGAGGGGGAGTTTGTCCTGGATAAAAACCGTGACGGGCTTTCCTGACAGCGAATCTGCCACGTCGGAACTCACTAGTGACAGGATTGGGGATCTGGGCTCATTATGCTGAGGTTAAATGGCCCGGGTCCTTTTTATTTTCAACATTAAATCGGCAGTGGCCCTGCCTACGGGTTAAGAAGTGTGGTTGCTGCCACGCTTCTGCCAAACTGGGGACCGGGTAGAAGTACGGCATGTACCCCTTCACCTGCCTGCCGGTTAAAAGATGTGCAGTCAAGACAATTGTGCATGTTCCCAGCAAATCACAAACTAGCGGCGGTTACAGGTTTGTGGTCTGCGTGCTGTGAGCACCCGGAAAGAGAACCGCTAATCTGGGTGGGCGAGTGGGAACCAGACCAGAAGGTCAGAAGTGCTTTCCTTCCAGGGGTCGCTTAGGCCTTCGGGTTCGTCGGCAGCAGTGCGGATGGGGGGCAGGCACTTCTGACTCCGAGTCCAGTGCACGTGGCTCTCCGCCAGGATTTAGGACCCACCCTTGCAAAAGCTTGGATAGCAGCTTGGTGTGAACTTGGCCACCTGGCTGCTGGCAGAAAAGCGAGTGGAAATTCTTGTCTGTGTGAGCGGGGGGCTTCGGCCACCTAAGAAGAGGGGAGAAGGAAGCCGAGGACAGAGGGTGGACGCAGCCCATCGTAGTCACACTGCCACACACCCCACCAGCGAGGCTGCACAGCACAGCCATCTCTGTGCTGGGTTATCTGCCTAGATCTTTTATTTCATCGGTCAGCATCACTGGTGGTTGCCCCGGGGCTATTAATTCTGCATCCCACATAGGTATACACGACGTGCCTTGCACAGCACTCTACCCACCACAGGTGTTCCGTAAATTTATTGCAGCAAGTCAGCTGAGAGCCCTCTTTCTTGAAAAATTAAAAGGTTACTAACAGGATAAGAAAGCCTCTGGGTCAAGTGGTCATAATTTTCAGAAGTGATCTCATTCCCCAGTGTTGTTTATGACTGGAATGGGCAAGGTTAAAACACCGCATGGACATTTAGGTGCACTCCGACGCTTCATTCTGGTTATTGCCGCTTTTCTGTTCTCACTAAGCCACACCACACTCTCAGTCCTCTGGGACTGTACCTTCTTTGTCTCCCCCCAAGAACCTGGGGTAGTGCTCCAACACACAACACTCTTCATACAGGCATAGTCTACTGTCTAGTGCTGTGCGAGGCTTTCCTCAAATATATTTAAAAGAGGAGCCTTGGTTAACTAGTTAGCATTTAGGGAAGAGATCAATTTGACCTACATATCATACATCAAAATGAGTGAATTAAATAGATACGGAAATAAAAATCAGGGAGATAAAGCAGAATTAAATTCTTATTAAAGCCCTGGGTATAAGACAAGGAGAAGATGTTCTAAGACTACATGTGATAGAAGAAATGACATTGGTAAGATTTGAACTATATAAAAGTGCTCAATTATTTTAGATGACAGTATAACCAGAAATTTGATACAGATTGGAAAAATGCACTGCATATGAGCAAGGGTTAAAATCTCTATTATATATACAGCCCATAAACAGAATAAGAAAAATATTGAGACAACCCTCCAAAGGTAAATTGCACAAGTGACATGTACTGGCATTTCCCAAAAGAAGAAATAATCAAGGAAAATAGATATAAGAAAAAATACAGATTTTAATAATCCTTTTAAAATAACAAATTAGCAAAATATATACTGTTAATTAGCAAATATTCACTGGCATCATTGTAAATTGGTATAAACCTGTTGGAAAGCAATTTATCGTAACTTTCAAGAATCATAAAGAAGTCATCACTTTTGACTGTTTTCCCACTTATAGAAGATCGTCCTAGGACGATCAGTAAAAACACTAGGGAGAAAAGTACCATATGCACTAAAAGTTCATAACAACATTTTAAAACTGAAAAATTGTAAGCACCATAAATGTCCAATTATAGTTGAATGACTAACGGAAATAAGTTATTGCCACAGAATAGAATAGTACATATCTTTAAAAAAAACAATCATGCAGACAAGTTTGCCACATGGGAGATTTAGTTGATATGACGTAATATGAGAAAATAGGATACAAAAAGAACGTGTATAGCTTGTATATAAAAATGTATGAGTATGAGAAAAGATTGGAAGAAAGTACACCGAGAGAGCAGCTTTTCTCTCGTGGTTGTGGAATTATAAATAATTTCTTTTACCTGTCTTTTTAAACTTTTTGAAAAATTATTTTATTATGTTAGTGTCTTAAATATTTCACATTTATAACTAATATCAATATATTTATATTATTCTCTTCCCTGGAGCTAAGCTTATTTGCCATACCAGAATGCCAACCCTTCTCTAAGTGGGATGCTCTTAGTCATAACAAGTGGGTTTTCTTGCTTTTCTGTAATATTTTCTGGTTTATTTTATCCTCCTAAAGTCAGGAGAAAGGCAAGCGAAAAAGAAGAAAAGATAAGCAAGAACAAATGTCTCTTTTTCTTCTGTCTTTTCTTTTTATTTGTATTTTCTCCCTTGAACCGGAAAGAGAAATTATATGATTTGGCAATTTCCTATTAATACCACAATGACCCTGGATTACATCTTTAGGGATGGGGGAGGAGGTGTAGGCGGTTTATAGCTCAGTGATCAGATCCTCTGGTGATTCA